ATTTGAATTTCATTTACTTCCTAAACTAAACTTGAATTTTATTTCAATTCATTTAATTTCTATATTCAATTTAATTTACTCAACGTCAGCTTAGCATTTGCCAATGAAATGATAAACAAAATTATACAAGTGTCAAAATACATATAAACTTATTTTCATTGATATTATGTTGTTTATTAAAAAAAATTATTTTTAAAATTTTGACTCCACAATACTAAAGGTCAGAATTCGCCACTATGTGCAATTGATGCATGAGTATTTGTATTCATTTACATATTGGTATGTAATTTTTTTTTTCGGTTGGTTTATGTTTCTAGTTGTTGTGGATTTGGCATTCTTTAGCCTAACAGTTCCTAAAGAATCATCTAGAGCTTCCATTGATCTTGAAGAAATCGAATAAATATCCAGAAGTTTTCCAAATACTGGAGGAGTCCTTCCTAAAGGCTTTCAAGATAGGAAAAAAGGTATACACAGTTCACTTTGCATTATTTTACTTATCATTCTGATGCTTGTATTTTGAGCAAATAGTGCAAGTGACACTGTATAAACACTTTCCCTTTGTCAGATTCTCTACCTTGATTGAGCAGAATCACAGGCTTGAAATCAATTTCTCCTTTTTCTTCTACTGGTGGGTTATAGGTACTTCCATTCTACAACTTTTTTTTATTCTCGATCAAAAATCAAGATTTTAGTTTTATCAAATTGCTCAAATTCGTTTCTATATGGGATTTTTATTGAGGTTTCTCCATGATTATGTTTGGTGATGAGTGAATTGATATTGGTTATTTGATGAGTTATGAATTCATATTATGCTATTTTAAGTGAAAAAAGATTCCTAGTGTTCGTCTGTACAGTCTTCTACTGTTGTTAAATTTAAAAGATTGAGAAAACTTGTGTTCATTTTGAACATTATCTTCCAATGTTAGATTCTTTGATACTAATTATTCACATGATAGTTCCAGCAATTTGTAAATCTCTCTGCTGCTGTTACTGCTAATAAAATGTTTATTACTGAAAATATGATTGATTTTTCTTATGCTTTTCCTAATGCATAATTGTCTCTTTTAAAAGAATATCCTGGGCTTCAAAATGGAAAGAAAGTTCCAAATGTTCCTCTTGGAAATGTTGTCAAGTCAAAAGACTCATGCCATTCTCGTTGGTGAATAGGTTCAAGAGGAAGGCTTTGAGGGTTGTTTATCATTACAATTTCTTTTGTTCTTTTCTCTAATAAAGATGCTTCAGAAAAACATTTGAGTTTCTATTTCTATGATTAGGTAATTGCTGATTTCTTGTCTAACGAAGAAGTTGAAGACATAAAAGAGGTGTATGCTAAGATATACACTGACAATGATGGTATTGTTTCAACTGAAGAACTGAAGGTTGGATTACAAAATTTCAATTCACAGCTAGCAAAGTCTGAAGTACAAATGCTTATTGAAGCTGTGAGTCTACAGCCTGCCTTATATTGTTGGGATATACAAACACTTGTTTTATTTATAAATATTTTCCATTTTTTTTAACTGATAATATAGCATTCCAGCGATGAGAGTTTTGGGGTTCACATCTTCTTATAACCATTAAATTCTAAGCAATATTTTTTTGAAGGTGATGTGGTATTAGTTTGGAAAATGGATCCAGTTCTCGTTTTCACTTTTAATAAATTTCCAGTAGAAAATATAAGGTGATTGAAATGAAGAGAAAATTGAAGAGAAAAGTTAGATAGAGAACATTGTTCATTGTGTGAGCTTTAGATACTGTATGGGGACTTCATCTCTTCGCTTGTTACCAAATTTAACATAAGAACAAAAAGGAAAACATACAGTACCAAATTCCTTTACGTGCTTTAGTCAATACCATTTAACAATTATCCTGTATGCAAACACCACAAACTATATTTGTACNACAGTACCAAATTCCTTTACGTGCTTTAGTCAATACCATTTAACAATTATCCTGTATGCAAACACCACAAACTATATTTGTACGCTGATTGCTTACATACAATATATAATGCTTTCTTCATGCCGAAATACTTATATAGCAATATTCCAAAACCGTCCCACTAAAAACACCAGTATTTTAAAACCAAAGCATCACATCGAGTATATCACATACTTATTGCCTAATATAATGAGATGCTTCCAGCTATCTGGAATAAGTGTTAGATGGTGGTTGTGAACAAATACGATCCAAGCTTGGACCTGGATCTAATTGATTTTTCAGCGAAATTTAGACTCAAATTATAAATTTATTGAAAAAGAAATATGGTTAAATGTAAACTTAATCTTTTATGTAAGAGCTACTTGATATTTCTTGTTTTCTTTATTCACTGTATTGCTACAGGTAGACATGAATTGAAAAGGAACCATGTACTATGGGGAACTTTTTGCCATTTCACTCCATCTGCAAAGGATGGCCAATGATGAGCATCTTTACAAGGCTTTTTCCTATTTCGACAAAGATGGCAATCGTTATATGGAGCCTGATAAGCTTCAAGATCCCTTAATGGAGGACGGAAAGATGATTGTGCAAATGTAGCAAAGGACATATTCCAGGAGGTTGACACAAACAAAGTGAAAACAAATTCCAAGCATTGAATTTAAGAAGTAGATGAATTTATTCTCAATCATTCAATTATGAATGCAGGAGGATAGAATCTATTTGGGGTTCAAAAATTCTTTCAATTTTTACCCAACCCATTGGCTTTACTTCATTAAAGTCCACGCATTACATAAATGACTATACTTGGACTTGGGGGACTATTGTTACGTGTTGTCATACTTGGCCAACCTACTTGGGCTTATGGCCCACTCAATTCGAACCACGTGGCACTCAAGTCGAGGTGGCATCTATGGCCGATGCCCATGTACCGAGGTTTGTTAAAGTAGCTGAACGCCACATGCTGCCGAGGCCTATATACCGAGGCTTCTGAAAATAGCCGAAGCCCTGAATCTGAATCCGAAGCCGAAGCAGAAGCTTCCGAACCATAAAGGAACGTCTTCCAAAATCACTTCTCCCAAGAGATCTTCTACATAAAGATCTTGTTTGAATGATTGATAGAACGTTTATCATAAGTGCACATGTGAAGTCTTGTCATTAGCATGGGGGTTCTGCATAAGCAATAAATGCGCAGCAAGTTAGCAAGTCAAGGATGATGCCTAGGATTAGATATTTGGATTAAAGAGATGAGGTCACGTGCCACCTCATCCAAGGGCTACCATTTTACATGTACCATTATAAATACTTTCCTTGTGTAACATTAAAGGGCTAATGCAAGAATAAATACAAGAAACCACACTTTACTCTCTCTTTCATATTATCTTACAACACAACACGAGTTCATACATATTTACATGCACATTCATGGGCACCGATTGGTAATTATTGTACAATCGAATTAAGAACATCCCGTCGGATTCCTAACGTTTTCGTCCCGCGTCGTTGAGCTACTCCCACGCCCCTGATCCGTTCGTCCTAGACCGTCCACGTGTTTTAGCGTGTAGTACCTTCGCTCACGTGTGCACGGGTGGGTCCGACATCTGTTGGCAACATTTTTTGGGGTCAACAGATTGGTGCCGTTTGTGGGAAACCATACCATAATCACGAACAACCTTGTGGTGAAAGTTTATTGAAGAGCATTTGGGCATTCCCCTTGAAAAATTATTTGTCCTTGAAAAAGAACAAGAGGAAGCCCCACAACTTAAGCAAAATCTGAAGAGTCATACGAAAAGAAAATGAGTTCAAACGAAGACACGTCCCCCAGGAGGGTAAGAGAAAACGCAAATGTACCTCTTCCACCTGCTGTCCCAGCAGCTCGGCAAAGACTCCACCACCACCAAAGTAGAGGTGGAATGCAGGCGATGGCACGACTGTCAAGAGAAATGGCTGCCATGGTGGCTAACATGAGAGATATTGCTAGCCAAAACTTGGCTATGAGGGAGCTCATGACCCAAATGCAAGGCCAGGGAGGCTTCCCCATTCTTTCATACGTCCCTCAGGGGCACTACCAGCAAGAAGATGAAATTCAAAGTCACAGAGCTGCCTTGTCGGACTATAGCCGAGGTGGAAGCCCATTTGAAAGAGAAATGAAAGTTGATGTTTCCTCCAACTACGCGTTTGGCCGACCCACCGAGGTCCCATTGAACCATGATAACTTCCCGCCTCCGTATGAGCAAGAGCCAAGACATAGGAGGGCAGACAGTGTATTTGACAAAATTAGCCTCGCTGAACCTAGGCTTAGACAACAGCAGACACACCAGCCTTGGACAAGGCCACTGCCTCCACCTCCAATGCCCCAGCAACCAAAAGAAAGGCATGAAAATGCCCCCCCGTGTTGCTCCGCCTAGATATAGGCGCCAGAGGAGGGAGGAAGAGGCTAGGAACCATCTCGGAACCTCTCACCAACAACCACGGCATGAGGCCGAGGAATGCGATTCAGATATGCAACAAAGGTCTTGTGACTTGGACGACGACGATGAGAATATGCCATTCTCGAGGGAACTAAGGAGTGCTCAGGTTCCAAGCCACTATGTAATGCCAAAGATACCAAAGTATGACGGAAGAGGCGACCCAGAGAAGCACCTGAATGCTTATAAAACTCACATGAGCCTAAGGGACGCCACATCAGCTGTGAAGTGCAGAGCTTTCCATTTAACACTTAGTGGAGCGGCTGAAATTTGGTATAGTAGGTTACCACCTAGGAGCATAAAAAGCTGGCCCGAGTTCAAGACAACATTGTTGAAGAGGTTCGCGATAAGTAAAGAAGGAGAGGCCTCCATCCAACGTCTCCAAGACATGAGACAAGCACATGGGGAGTCCCTAAAGAGTTTCCTATCACGTTTCACCGATGAGATGACATATTGCGTGCAAGTCACCGATCGTGAGGCACTATCCGCATTAAAGGGAGGTCTAAACATGAATACGCTATTCTGGAGGGACGTGCAAAATCAAGATCCCACCACCTATGATGCCCTACTCGAGATGATGAGGTGGGAAATCATCAATGAAGAATTGATTGAGCATAGGAACAGGGCAAGTAGAGGCCTCCCACCTCCTCAAAGGCAGCGTGCTAGAGGGCCAACCTTCCACCTGATGGACTACAAAATGAACCAGTCTGGAAATGAGAGTTCTGGCCAAGCACTTGCCACCACCACTTTGAGCGCGATTCCTACCTTGGCATATGAGGATATCAACCCAATTACTGACACCCAGCAGATGGAAACCCCACAAGGATCTCGTAGAGGGAGAGGCCGAAGCCGGGGTTCAAGACCTAGAAATAGGTCAAATCAGAACCCACCAGGATACTACGTACACCACCGGTCCTATGGACACGACACAGCGGATTGTCGAGACTATGCGCACCGCTCCCGGTTGGAACCCCCTATGGACAAAAACGAATCGCCCCAGGTGAACAGGCCCCCGCCTTGGCACGACAACCGACGTGGACGTGAGGAGGCTGCTCCCCGTCAAAGGGATGTTTACCTGCGATGAAGGGAGAGCGATACGCAGAGGCCCAGGGAAGGGCGCAGGCACCGAAGAAATCGACAAGCCCAAAATGAGGCCCCTATCCACGAGGTGGATACCATATTTGGAGGCCCCATATGTTGGCGGTGAAACATGAAACGCCAAAAGGAATTACGCCCGGGAGGCTAAACACCCCTCTTTGGCAAGCTACATTGTGGACAGCAGCTCCCGGAGGAACCAAGTTCCACCCATTGTCTTCACCCACGAGGACACCAAAGGAGCTCACTACTCCCACTGCGATACACTTGTTGTGAGAGCCGTCATAGTCCGAAATGGGCTCAAGCGAATGTTAGTTGACAACGGTAGCTCTGTCAACAGTCTATTCGGATCCGCCTTTGACAAGATGATATTGGATCATCAATTGACACCCACCATAACTCCTCTGTACGGATTCATCGGTGATAGCATCACTCCAAGGGGGAAAGATAACGCTTGCAGTGGAGATGGGAGAGTCTCCCCAAACCACGATGAACTTCATGGAGTTCCTTATTGTCGACAGTCGATCGGCCTACTATGGAGTATTAGGTAGGCCAGCCCTAAAAGAATTGGGAGCAGTCACCTCCATCCACCACCTATGTATGAAATTCTCGACGAAAAATGGGGTGGCAGCGGTGAGAGGTGACCAAAGAAGATCGAGAGAGTGTTATCTAAGCTCCATAAAAAAAGTAGAGCCCCGGGACGTCCATGTAATCATAGCCGATATAGTCTTGGCTGACGTCTCGGGTGATGCTCCCACTGAATCGGAAGACATTGATATGATTTATGCACCACCCAATCCGGAGGTATCAGTCATTGATGAGATCGATCCCCGCATAATTGAACACGAACCTCAAGCATCCCCGGTTGAGGAACTTGAGAGCTTCTCGGTAGACCCCCGAGACCCATCCAAGGTGCTGAAAGTAGGCAAGGGCTTATCCAACACTTTGAAGGAAAAGATTAAGGATTTCCTAAGTAAGAACCTTGATGTCTTTGCTTGGAGGCATGAGGACATGGTAGGCATAGACCACAAGGTCAGTTGCCACCACCTGAAAGTCAATTCTAAGGTTGCCCTGCACAGACAAAAAAGGAGAGCCCTCAATCCTGAAAGGTACGAGGCTCTGAAGGAAGAGGTTTAAAAGCTCATCTAAAACGGCTTCCTCCAACCCGATCTTAGTAAAGAAACACAACAGCAAGTGGAGGGTGTGCATCGATTTCACCAATCTCAACAGAGCTTGCCCGAAAGACAGCTTTCCTTTCCCAAAGATTGACCAACTAGTAGACTCCAAGGCTGGGTACGAGTTGTTGAGCTTTATGGACACATACTCCGACTACAACCAAATACCCATGCACCCGGCCGATGAGGAGCACACCTCTTTCATCAC